TGTTGTGGTGTTGTTTTCAGGCCTCACCCTTTTGCATTTTTGAAGTTAACATCGGGATGCCACCAAAAGAACGGCTAAGAAAAGATGGAAAGGAGTGAACAACTTATGCTGAAATAATATTTCAAAATTGTCTTTGAAATCTTTTTGCAAATGGAGCCACTGATATGCTTGATATGCCACTGATATGCTTGATATGCTTGTCTGTGACATTTGTACATGGTAGTTAATTTCCTATAAAACTGGAGAGGAAGTGAATATTATTGACCTTTGTATTTGGGGGACCTTTGACGTTTTAACCATTTTGCATTTTTCTTTTTTTTTTTTCTTTCAGGGTTGCCTTGTTTCTTTTTTTTTTTCCTCATTTGTGCACATGACTCGTGTCTGATGGAAGAGTAACCAGTAAGGCGGGGCATATAGCTGAAATCTACTAACAGTGTTTCATTCCTGTATTTTATGCAATGGCTTACTGGTTAATGTTAATTCGGGTACCTAAATACACTGGTGACGCTATGTATCTTTATAGCATTGGAGTAACAGGGTGTGTTAATTTTAACAATGGAATATTCTATGTTTATAAAGTTAATATAATTGTACTTTTATGGGGGAGATGGCTGGTGAACGAGCTTAAAATGATTTTGGTGTGCTTTTGAAATTTGCTTTTGCAGTTTTCATTCCTGATTGCTCGGGGCACAGTTGAATTGAACAGATTAAAGCTTAAACCAGTCTCTGTTCGTATCAGGACACCTCGGCTCAGCCCTGCCTCAGTTGGCAGGAGCTTCGCAGCATCCAGAACGGAGCGGACGATCGGGAATGCAGTCTAACACCACAAGTTTAGCTATTCTTGCTATGCAGTTACCTTTCTAATAGATTTTCAGTGTTTTCCTATGCTGGAGATTTGATTTCTTTCTGTATTATTTGGAATTTGTAAATATTAAATGTGAATTTATGCAAAAATGTGTGTTTTTTTCCCCCCCTGTGCACTAAATATTTAAACACTGTGACACTGTACCAAGAACAAGTCTTGCAGTGGTGACCCACTAATACAGGAGTTCCTGAAACTCTTCAACATTTTGTGTCACATGCTAGATGAATGGGGTTATTTAAGGATGTGAGCTTGCAGCTTGAACTCGCCCACCCCTCCCCCCGCCAAGTCCCCAGGAGAATCCCATCTTTGCACCTGCACTGTGCCAGTAAATTATCTCCCCATATATGTGGGAAAGCATTACCAGAGCAGGTTTAACCGTAATAGTGACAGATTAACCAAATGATGCAGCTGCTAGATTTGCCAAATCACCATTATCAGTCTCTTTGCAGGTAACATTTCGTAGCTTAAATTGTTATGCATAAAGGTGAATGTGTGCGTATAATTACATAGAAAAGTCCCTGAGGAGCAGATGATGAAGTGTGTGAAGACAAAGTGTTTTCCAAATCTACGGGAATAGAGCTGGACTCAATCAGACAGAAGCTCAGGGCCTGGATTCTGTCCCCATTCAAATATCTCTCTCTAATACACGATCTACAAGCTCCATGTCAGATGACCCATGTTAAATGGCACATAAGCAAATCTTGTTCTTCGCGCTTCATCTTAAAAATATGCGTGAAGAATTGAGGGATCCCTATGCCAACACCTCTAATATCCGTGTAATTTAGTTACTTAATATGCAATTTTACTCGTCTACAATAATGTATTAGCCATAGGGTTAATGTAAAAATAAACACCCATTTCCTTGATGGTGTTTGTTTTAATATTGTAGCCACTTGTCTGAAAAGGTTCCCCTGCCAGTGACATTTCTTTCAGGCTGTTTGACACCAGCGTGTCAGCGGTGTGCCTTTGTGTCCTCAGGTTCCTGCTGTCTGGCCAGATTTCTAAACCTCTGTCTTGCTTTATGATCTCAGATGGTTAAATTGAGTAGCCAACGATATTTATATTCAAACTGGATCTGTGAGATTCTCAGACGGGGAAGTGAAATTCAGACGAATACGTTAGGAAGTTGATAAATTAGCAACAAAACATAAAGGGCCTCTAGGTGAATAATCCTATCGTAGATGTAAATACGGGACAATTAGTGATATAAAACCCAGCCATTTGCAGCAAACCACTAGTAGTCCCCTAAATGTACTGAACACAAATCTAAATAGGCCTATGCAATTGACACATACACACACAAATAGGTAGGCCTGTAAACTGCTGAAAATCGCCGATAGCCGATTCGAAAACTAACGTAGTCGGCATTGGAGGCAAGTATTGTTACACCGCAGAACCAGTTTCCTCGTCGCTTTCGACGTCTTAAAATTGGGAGGGGTGATATACAACCGTGCGTGAGGCTGTCTCCGGGACCTCTGTACTTTGTTTTACATGTTGGGCTGAAGATAATGGACTTCTGCTGAGACAGATAAAATTATTATTATTTTTCTTGTATGTATGATCCTAATATAAGAATACGGAATTCAAATGTCGATCGAAGGGAGGCAAAAGCCTGCTACTCTGCTATAAAGTAAGTTTTGCCGGTTTTTAAAATGTCTTGATTGGCTGTATGCAAGTCTTTTTTTTCTTATCACGTTTTGTGTAGCCAATTAAATTTGAATTTGCATTCCATTCATGTACTTTCTTCACTGTAGCTTTTAAATAATTACTGATTTGCAAGAAAATAGTAAAATCACCATTCAGATCATTTAGTACTTTCCCCTTTAAGACCATTAAATAATGCAAACCGGCACTTAGTGATATTTACCAACTTATAATTTAGCATAACTATCTTAATGTTTATTAGGTAGACCAACCTGTACTTAGCGTTTGGTTAGAGAACAAAAAAAAGACAAATAATTCTTAGCAGATGTTTTTCTTACTTTCAGAACACTGCACGTCGAATAACAATCCAAAATGTATTATAACATTATAACATACATTTCTAGATTTCTAACATACATTATAACATACAATATTTAGATTGATTAAATGTATTTTTCATTTTCCGGTTTTGTGTGACTTGTTGACTGCAGTTAGTTTTGGCAGGGGGTGCAAAGAACGATAGATAAGTCGTGACGAAACTCGTGTAAAAAAAAAATGAAACATGCACATTTTAAACGCTTTGACTCAGCGCTTTTTACAGGACGAGCTTCGTGTCCATGTGAGCATGTTGGTGATACATGTAACATAAGAGGAGGAAAACCCACATCAGAAATACACGTACACGTGTGCATTTGCTGTGTCTGGCCTTCTTTAGTAACTAGTAACTTTTAGTAACTAGTACTTAATGAAGTGTCTAGAACTAACAGGGTCTAACGTGAACGAGCAGCAGGCTTACCTCTTTAATTCATTCATTTCAAAACGCTCGCAATGCAAACCAGCTGCGTAGTGTAAAGACTGGGGACGTATTTGGATGACAGTATAATTTTCGTGTATAAGCAGAGAATAAAACACGCATTGGGGAAAAAAATTACAGTTTAGCGAACTCGAAGTACTGTTAACTACCTCTTTTAGTCCGGAAATAAATGACACCGTTTAAATAAAGGTTAATTCGCGTGTCTTCAGTAGGCTATAGAGCATACTGTGGCAATATATAGCCCCTGTAATAAATAGTTGCAGTAGGTGGTGTTTAACTGATATAACAACAAATAAGATTTTTTTTCTTTTCAGGTATTCATCAGTTCCGAATGAAATAAGTGCATTTAAGTACTACTGTCTTATATTACAAGTTTTGCAAGTCTTATTTTTTAAATACTAATAATTTCGTGGCCGCCATATATTTTCCATGCATTATTATCTATCATACTATTACTTATTTCAGCAAAAAAGTTCCTAAAACTAAATGTGAATACCTGATTCTGTAAACGTTTTAAAGATGCAGGATCTTTGATGCTTCCATTGAAAAAGCGAACTCAATTTAAAAATTAAATATTTGTGTATTTTTAAATTATTTTTTACCAAATATGAATAGCTGGAAAACGGTCATTCGTAGCCGATGATGTTTTTGTTGGACTTCTAGTGTTTATCATACGGCCGGATTACGTAACGCTGTGTTTACCGAAGACGCATCAAAGACGGACTCCGGCGATTCCCGGCTCGGCTTTCCTGCCGTGAAACAATGTAGAAATGGCCTTACTGCTCCAGGCATGTGGTGGCCGACGGTGCAGCAGCTGGATCTGAGGAATTGCCGCGTCGTGTTGCATTTCCCAACCGGATGGACAGCAGTAGTATTAGGAAACCGAATGCATTGAAGTGCAGGCGAAACTCTCCCTTTTCTATACACGGGAGGTCTCTGAAAGTTAAGCCATGTACATGCAGTGTGGTGGTACTTTTGTAACAGTGTTAATATTGCATTGAAGTGAAAGATGGCGCTAATCGTCGAAACTTAAACAAAATAGCTTTCCTGGGCGCGCCGTAAGCATGTAGGCTACGGGTCGCGGAAACCTTTACCGTATTTGACAGGTCAGCGCAAGCCAAGTGGTTCGACAGAAAAGAAGAAACACACATGCGATAGGGGTTCATTTCCAGTCAAAGGCCGGGCCGGGAGAAAGGTGGGGGAAGGGCATTGTGGGAAACAGTTCACTGGGGGAAAAGGGGGGGATAAAGCCCTAGTGGTTGAACTGGTCCTTCCGTTTCCTTTGCCTTGTGACACCAAGAGGGGAGCAGCTGGCCCTCTTTCGTCATTTCAGGTAGACGAGAGGAGCCAACAGCAGACTAAACTGAACACCAACAAAGACATCCTCTGATCTTTTCTAAATGATGTTTTATGCCTTTGAAATAAAAAAAAAATGATGTCAGTAGTAGACAGTTGACTATTCGATAGTAATAATTTATTTTAATGCAACTAAAATATCTGTATTTATATTTTTTTCTTTGTTATTTTATTATGATGACAGAGCATTTGTATGTGATTGGGACCCGCTGGATTTTTGAGACACTTTTCCAAAAATAAGGCTTGAATGGAGAGACACACACCTACGTCTGTTTTCCACCTGAGGTCCCAGGACAGTCCTCTTAAAGACAATCTGCACCCCAAACCTCTAACATTACATTTCATCCCCTAATAACTTATTTCAGGTAAGTCTGCCATTGTAACAGCTCCGTTTACGATAATAATATATATTATTTTATTTGAATAGTAAATCTGCTGAACAGTTTGCTCATTTTAGACATAATTCATCGTGTTTGTGTGTGTATGTTTGCATATTTGTGTGTGTATGTATGTGTGTGTGTGTCTGTGTGTTTGTGTGTGCACTTTAAGCGTTCTATGACTGTGTTGAGAAAGGTGCCGTATAATGATGAATTGAACATGACTGGAATTAGTTGGACTTGCTAATCTATTATTATTCTTATCTTCAAATATTTATTTCCTTAATATTTCAGTATTCTGTTTTTCAGGATATTCTGTTTGTGTACTGTGTACTTTTTAAATTGCTTGTACCAGGTTTACTCATTTTCAGTCTGTCTGTTTTGCACAATATGTTCATCAATGATCTACACCAAGGGTCTCCAACTCCGGTCCTGGAGAGCTACTATCCAGTCAGTTTTCAATCCTACCTGGCTTCTGATGAGCCACACCAGTTCTCAGGTAAATACCAGGAGCAGGTGTGGCTCATCAGAAGCCAGGTAGGATAAAAAAACCTACTGGATAGTAGCTCTCCAGGACCGGAGTTGGAGACCCATCATCTACACTATATGGACAAAAGTATTGGGACACGCCTCTTAATCACTGAATTCAGGTGTTTCATTCAGACCCATTGCCACAGGTGCATAAAATCAAGCACCTAACCATGCAATCAGGTTTACAAATATTTGTGAAAGATTGGGTCATTCTGAAGAGCTCAGTGAATTCAAGTGTTGTACTGTCATAGGGTGCCACCTATTCAAGAAGTCAGTTTATTAAATTCCTTCTCTGCTAGATATTCCACAGTCAGCTGTAAGTGGTATTACTGCAAAGTGGAAGCATTTAGGAACAACAGAAACACCGCCACAAAGTGACAGACCACGTACAGTAACAGAGCGGGGTCACCGAGAGCTGAGGAGCGTAGTGCGTAAAAGTCAGCAGCGCTCTGTTGACTCAATAACTGCAGAGTTCCAAACTTCCTCTGGCATTAACCGCAGCATGAAAACCGTACACTGGGAGCTTCATGGAATGGGCTTCCATGGCCGAGCAGCTGCATGCAAGCTTCACATCACAAAGTGCAGTGCCAAGTGTCAGATGCAGTGGTGTAAAGCACGCCGCCACTGGACACTGGAGCAGTGGAAATGTGTTCTGTGGTGTGAGGAATCATGTTTCTCTGTCTGGAAGTCTGATGGATGAGTCTCGGTTTGGCAGATGTGAGCAGAACTTTACCTGCCTGACTGCATTGTGCCAGCTGTAAAGTTTGGTGGAGGAGGGATAATGGTATGGGGTTGTTTTCCAGGGCTTGGGCTGGGCCCTTAGTTCCAGTGAAGGGAACTCTTAGTGCTTCAGCATACCAAGACATTTTGGACAATTCTATGTTTCCAACTTTGTGGGACCAGTTTGGGGAAGGTCCTTTTCTGTTCCAGCATGACTGTGCCTCAATGCACAAAGCAAGGTACATAAAGACAAGGTTGGGTGAGTTTGGTGTGGAAGAACCTGACTGGCCCACACAGAACCCTGACCTCAACCACCATCAAACACCTTTGGGATGAACTAGAACGCAAATTGCAAGCCAGCCCTTCACATTCAACATCAGTGCCTGACTTCACAAATGCTCTTCTGGACAAATGGGCAAAATTCCCACAGACACACTCCATAATCTTGTGGAAAACCTTCCCAGAAGAGCGGCAACTGTTATAGCTGGATGACGATGGATTTAGAATGGAATGTCATAAAAGTGTCTGTGTGTGAAATGGCCTGATGTCTCAATACTTTTGTCCATATAGTGTACATACTTTTGTATGCACATGAATTTCCCCTGAGGATGAATAAAATTGACCTTAATCTTGACCTTAATCTTGATCTTAATCTTAAGTGAACACTGCCGCTCTTGTCCTGACACAGAGGAAGGTGTTTCCATGTCTGGCTGTCTGCAGTGAGGGGCTCCCTACTGAGTGAAATTGAAACCCAAGGCTGGGGAGAGATTAGAGAGGCGTGTACGCAGGCACCCATGGCTCAGGGGGGGAGGGGGGCCGGAGCTGCCCCCCCCGACGGAGGTTGGGGCTGGATGATCGTGGCTGGCTGCTTCGTCGTCACCGTCTGCACCCGGGCCGTCACTAGGTAAACCGGACGTGTCGCAATGGCAGCCAGTTCTGCAGTGATGGTTGGCATTGCAGATGGCTTCCTGGAATGTTTGGGGAACAGCAAAGGGAGAAGGACCCGCTCTTTGGTCCTGTTTAGCTGGCTCAACTCCCCATTTAGCAATATGTAGCTTATTTTACCTTATTTTTAGGAACAAGCTAATACATTAACACCTCGATGAAACTGGATAAAAAAAGCTTTTTTGGAAAATCTGCTGTAACACGTATTTATTAAATGTCCTGCGTTTTTACAATGTCTTGCTCATAATCTTCTTTAAGAATTTTCTAATATATAGTGGAAGTGAGGCACCAATTAACAAAAACGTTAGTATCGCATCGGCCTGATCACCTTGCGGTTCAGGTTATACTGGTAAAGAGTTAAACCTCACTGGGCGTTCCTCTTGAATACCAGTAACACCACCTTTCTCTTTTTCCTTTGGGTAAACTGCAATATTCATCAAAACGTGATCTGAAAAATGCAGAGGAGCCATGGAATCGTTGATCATTGCCAGGCTAGGATACCTGTGGTCAGTATTGGGGAAGTTACTCACAACAGTAATCCATTACGCCGAGAGGTGGAAAGTTCAGGTCCAGAAAGTAGAAATCCAGACCAAGTTTTTGTTTCAACCAACCAGTTGAGTATAAAGAGTCACAGTGATAGAAGACTCAACTGGTTGGTTGAAACAAAAACTTGGTCAGGATTTCTGCTTTCTGGACCTAAACTTTCCACGTATGTCTTTAATCGACAACTGTTGTGAGTAATTTCCTTAATACTGCGTGTGTTCACTGACTACGCTGTTGTCCCTTTCAGACTGCTTTTACATTTCCCTGCTGAACTGGCTCGATCAGCATTTCCTTATCTGCAAGCTCATCATTTACTTATTATTCATAATTATAAATTATGTAAATTATAAATTATCATATAATTATATGTATATTAACGTATGTAATATTTTATTTTAATAACTCTCTTATTGGGTATGGTGGGGAGCATGTGGCTCAGTGGGCTAAGCCTCTCTGCCTATGACTGGAAGGTTGCCGGTTCGAGCCTGCACTCCGCAGAATAGTCATGTCTGTGGGCTGCTTGAGCAAGGTCCTTAGCCCCCAGCTCAATGAGCACCACTGCAGGTGGCTGCTCCTCACTGCCAAGCTATTTCTCACCTATATGTCTCTGTGTAACATGGAGAGCAAGATGGGGTAGGGCGAAAATTTCATTTAATATTTAAAACATTTACAGAATCATTGATTTTTATATTTGTATTTGTTATGCAATTTACTGGAATTATTCATTATAAAACTACTAATAATATAATAATCCATCATAATAATAAGTAATGATTCATATAGTGTAGTTACTACCTTATGTTTCACACTGTTCTGGAGATATGTGTAAATTTGTGCCTTTTGTTTTTTCCATATTTAAATGACCTAATAATGCAAGTAGATTTGGCTGTTTTGTGGTTTACACATTGTGAACCCTTGTCAATGTATGTCTGCTTTAGATGCCATTATATCTAAATTAGATTTGTAAAACTTACCCTCCATATTGAACCACAAGCCCTAGCTGAAGCCCTCAGTGTTTGGTTGCATTCCTCGATCATCTGGCTGATACCCTGAAAAAATCGGTTCCTTGAGTCCCCATTGTCCCAGCGAAGCACTGAAGCACGTCCGCTCTTCTTGAGCACGAGACCTTGGACGATTACGTTCCAGAGGCCCTGGCTTGGAGAATGCCGGTTGCATGTGCTGGATGGGAGGTTCACAGATAACTTCTCCAGCGGCCCACGCTCAGCCCCGCTCAGCCCCGCTGTTTGCTTTCTGGTCGGGATTTGCAGCCACAGAGATTCGAGGGTTTGACTTGCGAGCTGGGCGGTCTGACCTCGGTCGCCCCTCATGGAGCTCGCTGTGTGTTTGCACAGATGCTGGTCCATTCTTTTCAAGGTTCAAGTACCCCCCCCCCCCCCACCACACACACTGGCCCCTGGTAATACATAACATAGGCCTCCCTACTGTATTGCTCTTGAGTGATGATGTTCCGGTCGGATTGGTGTAATCCCTCGCCAATCCCAAGCCTGTGATATCATCATGTGATATTGAATCACGTCAGATGCAGTAATGCAGTGCAGGATTGGGCACCATGGCTGCACTGTTTCCTGCATATCACTGCAGCGCTCTGCTGAATTGCATTCGTTTTCTTCATCCATTGTTTTCTTCATCATTTGGGTTGAATCGTGCTCCGAGCCGAAAAGAGCATGAATAAACTCGTGTCTTTCTGTTTCTTTAGATGTATCTCCATCTTTTTTGTGGAGTTTCAGATGCACTTTGGTCATGACTATGCAGGCACTGCATGGATTCATTCGCTGGTGGACTGCACCACTATGCTCTGTGGTAAGAGTTCCTTAGACTTGCCTCATCAAATCTGCAATTGTATCACCCTTTCTATGTATCTCTCACATAAGCCCAACATAAATTAACTGTGATCTCCATGTACTCTGAAATGTAAGTTTAGGGGACTGATGCCAGTTGGGAATTCAAAGGTTTGGCTGATATCAAAACATGAAGGTATTCCACTCCATGTAGTTGTACGTAGTCATGGAGTCCGCAGTATAAGGACTGTTGACACATAAACAATATCAGTTGTATCATGTGACTCTTTACGCTCACCTGCTTGGTTGAAACAAAATCTTGGTCTGAACCTGAACTTTCCTGTTCTGCCTAAATTTATAATGTATGTCTCCTAAATGTTCTGGGGTGGCATGTTGGGTAAGTGGGTTAGCCATAATCTTCCTGCATATTTGTGTGGGCCTCTCACACAATCCAAGACTTACTGTTCAAGAGAATTAGTGAATGAAAGTCTATTGGCTTTTCTGTCCCGGGCGTCCCTTGCCTTGTACCAAAATGGCAAGTGTCTCCTGTTGGGTGTTGGCTTCACAGTAATTCCCTATGGGGTTAATGTTGCATAGGTTCTGAATCTGATATAGCTGTAGACCCCAAGTTAGGTGATTGGCAGCCTCTCTGACATCCCTTGTCATGTGTCAGTTTTGCGTCCTGTTTGAAGCAGTGCAGGAAAATGCTATCAAGTGCTCAAACTCTGCTTTGCATTGCACTGTTTGCATTTCCGCCAACCCTGTTTGTGTAGCACTTTTCATGACTCCTACTTGTAGACTTGGTGTTGGTTTATGAATAGATTTAGCCTGAAGAACACAGCTCTAGCCTTCATGGTATCCATGAAGCTGAAAGTCACAAGACGGCCTCCTCAGGCTGTGACTGACTATAGATTGAGCAGAATGTTGTGGACTTTACTTCATCCCCCAGAATCTTATTGATATTTAACATCCTGGATGATGCGTTAACCTCTGTCCAAAAATGTCTGTAATCTGCCCATATTGACAGAATTCTTTCTGCAAATTAGTATAATGTTCACTGCACAACCCATGCCATATGTTCTGTTTAAATTGTAGCCCATATGTAAAGAGAGCGGATCTTTAAACTGTTTAATATGTAACTCTGAAGTGCCGAGGCCACAAAAAAATGTCGGACTAGAGAAAGCAGTCAATGGTTTCAGGGGTGACATGTAACAATATATCAAATTACGTAAGAGTCCCCGCCTTTTGCTGCATGATGTAATGTGATATATAAAATACAATAAGTCTAAATAATATTTCATGGGTAATTAATCATACGTGACACCAAAAAGTACAGCTTATGACACTCTTCCATAACATTCTTCCATAACATCTTAGCTTGCAGTCTATCCCATGGGACATGGACGGGACACAGAACAGACGACACCCTGGATAGAATGCCGATCTATAACTTTCATAAGAGAGGGGATAGAAAATTAGTTTTACCATTTCAGTTACATCTCTTATAATTATGTTGTTATGTATGTTATATATGTTTTTAGCCAATAGTTCAAAAGTGCATTAAAAGTACTGTTACGTTTTACAAGATGCCGAATGCATATTTTTATTAACTATACTAAACTATGAGTTTCAGTAAAATTTTTAATAAAATTCTCTGTTACAATATATCGTAAATATGTAATATGCCATAACTGTGTCTTTAATATAATGGTAAATTTCCATGTAAACTGTGCTTTTATGATCATGGTTCCGACAGCTCACCTTGTATGGTCCGTGTGACAGATACATTGTATGTCCATCTCCAGTGCTTGTGATTTACTGTCCTGGCAGCTCCGCTTGGCAGCTTCATTGGGAACCGACTGTCCTTCCGCATCACGGTGATCCTGGGAGGCTTCTTGGCTTCCACCGGGCTGGTCATGAGCTCCTTTGCCACCAGCCTTGAGTACCTTTACCTCTCCCTTGGCATCCTGACAGGTAATACACACCACCCCTGCTTCCTTCGAGTTCCCCGATACGACCGCTCGAAGGTCGCCGTTAATGTGCAAAGGTTTCTATCTGCAGGTGTTGGGTTTGCCCTTTGTTACACGCCGGCCATCGCTATGGTTGGCGTCTATTTCCACGAGAGGAAGGCGTTGGCGTACGGGATCGCCATGTCCGGCAGCGGGATCGGGACCTTCATCCTGGCTCCAGCAGTGCAGCTCCTGATAGAGCACTTCTCTTGGCGTGGGGCGCTCCTCATCGCTGGGGGGTTTGTCTCCAACCTGTGCGTCTGCGGGGCATTGCTGAGACCTCTCGCCTCCGCGGGGGGGGCCGAGAACGGGTCCGTGGCGGCGGAGTCCGAGGCAAGGGACAGGGCGGTGACTGCGAGATGCTGCGATGACCAAGAGCACCGTCGTTGCTGCTTCCGGCCCATGCAGGAGTACCGGTTCCTGCTCATGCCCAGTTTTGTGGTGCTGGCCACGTCTTTCCTGCTCCTTGCCAGTGGCTGCAGCCTGCCCTTCGTCTATCTGGTGCCTTATGCCCTCGATGTAGGTGTCGGCCACCAGCAGGCTGCCCTACTGATGTCCATCCTGGGGGTCATCGACATTGTGGGCAATGTCACCTTCGGCTGGCTTACTGACAGAAGGTACAGCTTGGTGTAATTCTGGAACCATTTGTGGGGAATACATGCAGGACTACATGCAGAAAATCTTAGAAATAATCATAGAAAATTGGAATTAAGTGTGTATTTGCTCAGAAAGAGCTCAGAAACCAGTAGAAGTTAAAGCTCAACAGTTCAGCAGGCTTAGTACCTTACAAATGTTGTAATTCAAACTTGCTCATGCACTGTCAGAAAAACGTTTCAGCTGTAGTACACTTTTGTTCCCCAAGGTACAAACAACATTACTGTTACCCAATGGTACAAAAATGCTCCTCAGCATCCATTTCTGTACCTTAAACGGTACATCTACCTACAGCAAGAGTACAATTAGCAGACCCTTGAGGGTACAGCCCTAGTGACAAGTAATTCTACCCTCAAAGGTACAAATTGGAACTTTTTTCTGACAGTGTGATAGCTAATGAAATCCAGCAAGCTAATTGGGTAATGTGTGTCCCCACCCCCCCACCCAGGTGCCTGAGGAAGCACCGCGGTGTTTGCTACATGCTAGCTGTCGGCTTGGAGGGCTTATGTTGCCTCTTTGCCCCCCTGCTGCGGAGCTTCCAGCTGCTAGTGCCCTTTGCGGTGCTCTACGGTTACTTCGATGGGGCTTACGTGGCCCTCATTCCTGTGGTGACGTCTGATGCCGTGGGCACGGCCCACCTCTCCTCTGCCTTGGGAGTCGTGTACTTCCTCCACGCCGTGCCGTACCTGGTCAGCCCGCCCATCGGAGGTGTGTTCCAACGGCCCCTTCACACTCACCAGTGAAGACATGCGGCAATGCGTCTTTCATAAAGCTATTAGCCATGGAAAAGTTCTAAAAATACAATCCTAGGCAAAAGTCTCTGGCAGTCAAAGAAAATGATGTCTAAATGATCTTTATGTAGGTACAAAACTGATATTATGTCTGGCAAAGTGTGTCAGCTTAGGTATTTCAAAACCTCTCATAAAGTTACCCCAGTGTTTGCAGAAATCGTCCAGTACACCCATGTATTTTTTGACTTGACCAGTAGCACACCTTTATTGGGTAATCAATACGTCAAACCATCTATCTAATTTTATTAATTGATTAAGTGAGCTAGGTAGTGAGATTTAACAAATATATGGAATGGTTGTGGTGCCCCTGAGGAGAGGTTTGGGATATTAGTAACTTTTTGGAGAACAGATGAAATCCTTTTTAATTTTTATTGTGTTACTGTTAATTTGCACGTTAACGTTTTTCTTTGGCTACCAAAGATTTTTGCACATTACTGTGTATTAGGGCTGCACGATATCACATTGCAACTTAATCACAATTGTATGGCACATGCACAATAATCACCAGGGCTACAGGTAACAGGTGTGACATTTGTTCGGATGCCGGCTTTTCAGTACTATATGGATGATTATTTACACCCACAATTTGGTAAGCAGATTAATGTACACCTGAGATATTAATGAGATGCGTATTGTGACACCCAAAAGCTAGTAATCCGTATAAATTCAGGGTATCTTTATGTTTATTAAATAAGTTTAGCAGAGCACGCCACATGCTACTGTTTTGGTAACTCATAGAAGCAAGAAGTACTGAAGAAATGGCGAAGAAACGGACAGCTCAACAGCCACAACATCTTTTAAAAGAGGAGATTATAGGTAAACAAGGTAGAAAGATGTTTGTGGTGTGGCGGTACTTTCTGCAGTTTAAAGTCCAGCACGTTTATTAAACAAAAAGGCACGCCAGATTTATACAGATTACTAACTTTGGGGCGTCGTGATACACCTCTCTTTAATATTTTAGGCGCACAAATAATCTGCTTACCAAATTGTGGGCGTAAGTAAAATTCCGTATAATCGCGATGTGATATTATGCAGCTCTACTGTGTATTGAATGTGTGTCCTGTAAGACAGGCCTGTTGCTGTACAGCATGTGCCCAGTGCTGATGGCTTTTCCTTTCCTGGCAGGTTGGCTCGTCGACCGAACCGGCTCTTACACGGCCACCTTCTTCCTCAGCGGCTTCGCGCTCATCTCCAGCTCCCTGCTGCTCGGCGTGGCTGCCTTGGTCCACAGCTGCCGGGAACGCCGGAAGCACAGTGTCCACACCAACCCCAAGCTGCACAGCTTGGTCAACAGCCATTGATAGTTAGGACTTCCCAAGGTGGAACCGAAGCTCGCTCCTCTCCCTGGTGGTTGTATACTGCAGTCTTTGTGTGACACCAAAAGCCTACTGTATCTGTACAATAAAAATACGAAAGACATTGTGGACCACTCCTAATGTGTCTTCTGGCCTGCTTTTGTTGGTGGCTTCAAAGATTCTGCTTTTCCAACCTCTGGAGAACTCTTTCAGTCATTTGGATGACTTTGTGACATTCCCTCGCGTTATCTCGAGAACAATATTCAAACATGGCTTTCTCTTTGGGAGAAATTCATTAGGGTATTGCGTCTCTCCACGGCAGGTTCCTCACCCATCCGTCTAGGTCAAAGTTTTCCAGCAGATGGCAGTATTTGAGTAGTTTTGTTGAACATATACCAGCATATATTAGCAAAATGAATTATGAGGTATATGTTTATTTTGTAGAGACTTGTGGACAAATAGTGCTAATCTGTATTTCATATCTGGCTTTTTTTAAACAAAAATGGGTTCATAGTAATATTTTCTTGCTTACAGGTGTTTGCAGTTGCACTAAAACATTGTGGCTACTGTAAATAGAAGTCAAATCTAATAAAACAGACACTGTTGTCCATTTTATTTTATGTTTTTTTGTCCATGTGCTGAAAAAAATATCCATAATATCCACTGGGTCAGATTGTGAGATGATATTTTGAGACTGATGGTTGGTGTGCAATCAGAATGGCAGCAAAGAAAATGTATGTAGTAGTATGCTGATTGCTGGGAGGGGTGAAATCAGTAGGAGTGTGAAGGGTTAACTGTCCCCACTCGGCACAACCATCTATTTCCCTCTTCCATGAGGTTTTTGCGTTTATCTGGCACCAAAAGTCACCTGCTCTCGTAGATTTGTGCCCTGGGCCAATATAAGGTAAGTTAGCAAATACACAAGTTTAAAAATGTGCTATGGAAAAATGACTTTACATTTATGAATAAAAAAAATGTCATTATTGTAATCAGTGAATAATAAATTTGGATTATTTTGGTGACAGCATTATCATTCTGTTACATTAACACCATTTAAAATATTAATAGCACACAGAACTTTTAAAAGTATGCAACAATATGCACTGAATATCAAATAAGGATAAGAAAAGAAAATGACTTAATGGCTGTAAATGTAGGATGAAAGGGAGGCGGAGGATATAAAACATGTTCTTTGCAATAGAAGACTGGATACCTGCTAATGTGAGTGTTTATTGTGCAGTTAAAAACAAAAGACCTTCAGTGTTTTTACCGTGTTCCAATTATTGTGATGAGAGCATCATAATGCTATTTTGTGTGAGTGATATTGTACAGATCTAGAACACTGTAATACAGAAAGTGACCGCCCCTTTACTTTTTAAGTGTCTTTTTACATAGCACTTAAAAAGCACTTTGCTAGTGCACCTATAATCTATAACCAATAAACCGTCAATGTCCAAAACAGAACACTTATTTCCACAATCGATTACGTCAGGAGTTTGGAACATAGCCATCAGTGAACAGTTTAATGCTTTAAATGGACTTGCAGGGATTGTTCACAGCAAATGCGGTACATGGTTTCTTTATCATGCATTATAATAATGTACAGTTAGTTTGGTTAGGTCATCCACAGCTAGTATAAATATTTGGACCTAACCAGAGCTTTGTCTTACTGTTTTATTTAGCTATCAATGTTGTTAAAATTAGCCATAAGTATTCCATGCAAACAACCATCATAAATACAAATGTTAACTAGTAAATACTGTTTTCAAACAAGAAGCTTAGGGTGTAACTTTACCTTGACAGCTACATGTGACTCAAACAAACTGCGAAGAACACTTTCTTCTGACTTCAAGTGAGTTATTAGCTGAGGGAAAATTGTTTGATGCTTCTCCAAACAAGAGGCGGGAAATGCTTGGTTTTGATTGATGCTTCTGACATCCAATGGAGATGCTAGTTAAATAAACAACTTAATAAAACATCCTATCATTGGTCATGTGAAACGCTATCGGTAGACAGAGAATGGGTGTATTCCATCTATAGTAAAAAGTAAAAAAAAAAAAATGATATTCAGCAATAACTACCAATAATGTAACGATATGCCAATAACAATAAATTTCTCAGTTCTTATTGTAACAAAAGGCGAGAATGTAATAACTGGCCAATACTGGCAAATGGTTATTGTGTTACATATCTCAGAAAACGTATTACATTATTGGCTAGTTGTAACATTATTGACCATTACTATATCAAGAATAGAAACACGATTATGGTATTAGCAATTACAATATTGGCAGTTATTACATTATTGGCTGCTATAGGTCTCTGATGTCCAACAGTGAACATTCTCCGGAAAATTCTTAGTTTTTACTTGATAGACGTATCCCAGCATCCAATTGTGTTCACTATTGCATTGATTTCAGGAATTATGCAGGTTTGCCATGTTTCCCAGGTCTGGAGCACCTTCAGGTTTCAGCGATCGTCTTTTTGACCTTCGGCTCCAAGTGAGGCTCCTTGGCATTTCAAATTTTGTAAATTGTCATTCGTGTGAAAACTATTTTTTGGACTTAGTTTGGAGAGCAGAGCCCAAGACTGGCTGTGTGAGTAATCTGAGGCTTCATTTGATGAGGTTTAACAATGCTTCAGATGACCTTAAGTGCTATGTGAGATATGAAAATGAGAAGAGAATCCATAATGGTGCCTAGTATGGAGGTCTTGTGCAAAGAGTTACAGAGAGTGAGCACAGGTAGTGGTAAACATAGCCAGCAACTAGTGCAGAGAAAGCCGAAGGTCACAGAGGGCTGTGAGAAACTCATCGTTTCCTGGGTTATGTAAAAGAGCTTTCTCATAGCACTCTATGGCTTGGAACTTGTCACCCCTTAGCTGATTAACATATCCCAGAATCCCAAAAGCTTCCCCATCACTCGGATTCCTGTCAATACGCCACTTTGCTATCATTTCCAATTTCTGAAGACATTGCTCCCCTGTTCTGTTATCTTTCTGAATTTGACACCCTTCCATGTAATGCTCTATGGCCAGTGACTCTGATCTCTTGTGATACAGCTGAAAGTTACCATAACTTTTATGGACATCTTGCAGGTTGAGATTTTTCGCTCTGGCCACCTGAAATGCTTCCTGAAACAGCTCCTCTGCTTTGGTGAGGTTTCCCTTCTCTGCATGTAAAACAGCTAGATCTATCATGGCGATAATGAAGGAGGGCCTCATATCAATGGCCTTCTGAAAATGATGCATGGCAAGTAGGAGAAGGTGTTCAACCTCTTCTCTGTTGATGTTTCTCCCTCCATTTCTGCACAAGTTGATTTTATTATTCCTATAGCAGACTGCAATTTGATGGTGAAGAAAGGCTGAATTTGGGGTTTTTTCAAGGGCACGCTTGAAAAGGTCTATGGCCTTATCCATAGATCTAAGTTTTCGGAAAAACTTTGCAGCATACCGCATGACGTGAGGGTTGGCTGGTGAAATCATGAGAGCTCTTTCAATCAGTTCCTCTGCCTCATTCAATGTCCCAGAATCAGCTAGTTTTAGACCCAAAAGCGCCATGATATAAGGATCCTCAGGGCTCAGCTCTAATGCGCGCCTTAGCTGTTTACCAGCTGGTGAATCTTCAGTTGTGTTGCTCTCATATTCAACCCGGTACAGCGCTGTAGCATAGCCACTGTTCCAGTCAGGATTGTCTGGATGCTCTATCAGGGCTTTCTCAAAGCACTCTTTCGCTTTCTCGTGGTATTTCCTAGAATACATGAGGAAGGTCCATCCCATCTCTCCGTAGACTTCCGCATGAAAAGCAGTAGGAGACTGTGCTGGAAATCGCTGCTTAATATCTTCCACCTTCTCCAGATAATGCATGGATTTTACATGGTCGTTCAAGTGGTAGTACAGCCATGCAAAGTCTCCATATGTTACAATGAGCATCTTCTCACATTCTTCATTGTGTTCACGAATGTGGTCTTCAGCCTTCGTCAAGTTAGTGAGTGCTTCTCCTGGCTGGTCTTGCAAATAGTTCAGAAAAGCCAAAAAGCTGAATAAGTGTTTGGCCCCAGCTTGATCAGCTAAACTGAAACTGATATCATCCTCCAGTCTATTTTGCAAGTCACTGAGATCAGTGTCCTCTTTCCTGAGACCCCAGGTGAAGTGGCACTGAAGCTGAATAAGTTTTATTTTTAGTGAAGCGTCCTGGTTCAACCTACAGCAGCATTGTAAGCAAACAAGAAACAGTATTATTGTCAGTAATGTGCAGCACTATACTCAACAATCCAGTTGCTTTTTCACAGATATATCTGCATAATACTGCTTGTCGAGGGAAACTATTAATCTGCTTCTCATTTTTCATATTTAGTTATTCAAAACATTCTGTCCAAACATTAAAGATATTATTCTCTGTAAACGTATAGCGTATACGTACGTGCAATTAATATGAAGATAACATTTTTCATTTTGTATTGTTATTCTTATTGAAATTAATAAACGGTCGCCTATACAAGACAGAAGACGGAAAACGCTACATCAGTTTACTTACGTCATTGCAGCAAGGTAAACCTGATTTCGGTGTGTCGTTGATAACGTTCTTTTCGGTCTGAACACGCTGTCGGTCTAATTCAAATGACGCAGCAGTGAGTACGACGCTGCCGCTTTGAAAACAAAACAAACATTGTCTGTCTCTTTCTGCAAAAATGAAACTAACAGAACAAGTTTCGTTTTCGTTGAAGTGGAATTTATTCAACGAAATGTGCTATAGAATTTGCCGTAACATTTGCTAAATGCTATATTTACAGCAGCCTATAAATGTAGGCTACTACTTATTTTATATTCAGATCATACAGCCTGCCAATGCAAAAGACTTTGTTTTATGAACACAGTGTTACACATTGAAGACGGACAAAGCTACTATATAGTCCGGTAATAGAAATTAAGATATTGGCAGGATATAGTTGAAAAGGCCGCGCTGAGGCTATATTGCTTGCTGCCAAAACCTGAAGACGCTGATATTCAGTAAAATGTTTTTTTGGGTAGGTATTGTGGGAAACACGGCAGGCTCTGGGTGTTGTGGCGCCCTAGGCGAGGTTCTGCCACACCCACTTCTCCCTCCAGAGCAGCAGAAAACATATCTGATCAATTCATTTACAGTATACGAAAACATTTCAGGAGCACGGGCTATCTGGCTGTTAACTAACTACCTGGCGTCTGTTTTACAAGATTAGTGAGATATCAAAACTGCTATAATAATTAACTGTAATGTTACAGGGATATTCTGATGTTTTTCACTCGCTCTTTTGTGCCCCCTAACAAATGTTCAGTGACTTCGAAAGAGTTAATTTCCAAAGTGAGTCGTATCCATTTTCGGCCAAACGAATTGCAGACCTCCGACAGCGCGAAAAGCCCTAAGGCTCTTAAGGGCATAAGATGGAGGGAAAAGAGAAGAAGCAAAAACTCGAGAAAAGCTCAGGGCAGCGATACCTAAAGTGGTTTAATAGTCAAATCTTCTTGTTTAGATGTGTTAGCAGTTGCACTTTAATAAACACCGTGTCTACTGTAAATAGAACTTATGAATTTGAACCTAATAAGTTAAATACACACTGTTACAGAAAATAATGCATCACAAGAATAAGCTATTTAAATGTACGAGTTTTTAAATTACACAATTAATTTCCCCTGAATTTGTTTTGCGGTGCATTTGCTTCATTTTACTTAAAGTTTTTTGTCTATGTGCTGAATAAATACTTTTCCATAATAGCTATACTGATTGGTTTGAAATGAAACTCTGAGACTTGGTCCTTTGTTCTCCGTTCGGTCTGGCACTGGCTTCAGTCTCCCCCATCACCGCCTTCCTGGTTTCCAATAGAGGAGAATCTGGCGCGTCCGCATCAGCTGCAACATCTCCCTTTTCTCTCCCTGAAAGCTAAGGCAGCTAAACCTGTGCTAGGNTCCCTGTCTGGCACTCAAATACACCAGTATTTCTTAATAGAGCGCTTAACATTGGTGGTCAGCCCATCACAAACTCCCGGTGGATCTCGTCCGGAATCCGTGTTTTGGGTGATCTATTTGATGACTCTGGCCTCCTCACGTTCCAGGCTCTCAGCTCTAAATTTCCTATCCCTCCTTCTTCCTTCTTTTTCTTTCTACAACTGCGATCTGTCTTCAGAACATGTGGGATTTCCTTCTCTGCTCCTTTGCCTACTCACCCCCTTTCCAAATTTGTGGCTTCCCTTTCCAAATCTAATAGACCAGTCTTCGCGCTGGACATGTTTTTGCGTGATGCTGGTCAGGTTATTCCACCTGTTGCCCGTAAATGGGGTGATATCTCTTCTCCTTCTCCATTGTGCTGGCGCACCATTTTTAAAAATATTAAGCGGGCTTCTAGAAATCCCAATCACCAGCACGTTCAGTTTAGTTTTGTGCACAGGATGTACTGTACTCCACGATTGCGCTTCGCTATGGCTCTCGATCCTGATCCCCTTTGTAAATTGTGCCTACTTAGTGCCCTTGGTACTTTTCTCCTCATGTTCTGGGAATGTCCACCTGTGGCCGCTCTTTGGTATGCGGTCTCCTCCTTTCTTTCTGATCTGCTGGATGTGACTGTCCCTTGTTCTCCTCAATCTCTGTTACTCTTAGTTTTCTCTCCCCTTTCTTTTTCCCCTTCTCAGCAACAGACGATTTCTTTATCCTCTGTCGCTGCAAAGCTGCTGTTGGTCTCAAGGTGGAAAGACCCGAGTCGCTGCAGTTTCTGCACTTTCATAGTCTGGAGGGCTTCCCTTTACGATCTGATCATGTTGGAGCTGTCTGCTGCTCGAATAAATGGTGCCTCAGACGTCACTATTAACAATTGGGGGCGTAATGCTTCACTTGTACAAGGGTACATCGAGGAGAGCACATCACCTGTTGTGTCTGGTTAATTCTGGTACGGTTATGTAGATATGCGTATGTATGTGTATATCTGTCTATATGCAAATACATTTGGTGTGTGTGTTGTGTATCTATATGGATGTATGGGGGTGTGCATGCATTTGCATTTATAGGTGTATGTGTTTTATTTATTATTGCTGTATGTATATTACTGTGTATGTATATACTGTAGATAGAGTAAAATTGTATCATTTTCTCTTTTGTTTCCTTTAATGTCTTGGTCCGGTGGGGTGGGTGGGGTTTTGGTTCTGGTGTTTTTTCTTTGTTTTGTATGGTGAACAGTTTTTGATATGTCACTTTTGTGTGCATTGTACAAAAACCCAATAAAAACTTGGTTGCAAAAAAAATGAAACTCTGAGACTGATAGTTTGTGTACAATCAAAATGATTATGAATATAATGCACGTTATATACCTCTAACCTATTGTAAGAGTTTAATGTTATGTTGATGGTGAAGAGGGTCTACTTCTCTGGGCTGGCGGATGGAGCGCAGGGGTGAGATAAGACGGCGGAGGAGAGGGAGAGAGTTGGTGCGGGAGCGGGGAGCAGAGGGCAAAGTGTAGCGCCGAGCCGGGAGTTTGGACTTTTTATTTTACTTTAACAAGGGGAGTAAATACATTAAATTCAATTTTATTTATATAGCACTTTTAACAACAGTCATTGTCACAAAGCACTTTACATTTAACCGGACAGAACGCCGCCAAGCAAGCCTGAGGCAACAGTGGCAAGGAAAAAACTCCCTCTAGCAGGAAGAAACCTTGAGAGGAACCTAGACTCGGAAGGGGACCCCATCCTTCTCCGGGCGACCGGGGAGCATGAAACTGCATTTACGTGTCTATATTCCACTAAAATCTCCTGCCTCCTTTATAACCACCACGAAGCCATCACGAACCCCAGCAAAAGGTGTAAAAGTATACCTGTGTAGTGACTTCACATAACAGTTTAAGGTTCGGTTTATTGAGCATAATTCACCATACTATAAAGTCTATGTTGTTCACGAATGTTTGATATCTTATCTGTAATTGGCTATCTATACCTTAACCCGGGTTGTGATCGACCTATTGGAATTGGTGCTCATCTTCATGTGATGGGATTGTTCTGGTAAAATAATTCCGTTCTTTGCTATATGCGCAGTTGTTGTAAGTTAATAAAAGAGAGTGACGTGCGTCACTGCTAGTAAGAAATTCTCCGATTTTTCATTCCAATTTCCACACCTGTAAGTTGACAAGAAGTGATCAGCGTCACACTATAACAAAACATAATAAATTAAATAATTAATATACTGAATGACGAAAATTAAGGCAGTGGTTACAAAATGTTAAACACTTTAAATAGCAACTATTCAAATTTCAAGCTCACACCAGCTTCCCAGGTAACCATTTGCATGATCATGTAACAGAGCCATTGCATAGCATTGTTCAGTTGGACCTTTCATAGTTTTTACTTGAAAAACGTATCACAGCATCCAATTGTGTTCACTATTGCATTGATTTGATTTTATACATATCATGAAGAAATCAGAAATATGCAGCCATAAGTGCTACAAATAGTTGCTATGGCAACAGAAAAGCATAGTCTTTCCGATTAATGCATTATATAAGAGCATTCTCACAACCTCACTACTGCAACATATTAATGTTCTGAAGTGATACTCAAGTTGAAGTCTCATTTTTAGTGAAGCTTCTTGGTTCAACCTACATCAGCATTTCAAGCAAACGAGAAGCAGTATTATTTTCAGTAATGTGCAACACTGGCTCAACAATCCAGTTGCTTTTTCACAGATATATCTACTTAATATTGCATGTCGAGGGAAACTATTAATCTGCTTCTCATTTTTATTATTTATTTAGTTAAAATAATCTGTCAAAGCATTAAAGATATTCTCTGTAAACGTTTATCTTATAGGTGCAATTAATATATGAAACTAATATTTTTTCATTTTGTATTGTTATTCTTATTGAAATTAATGAACGGTCGCCTATACGAGACAGAAGACAGAAAACGCTACACCAGTTTACTTACGCCATTGCAGCAAAATAAAACTGTTAGTGTAAAACCTGACTTCTGTGTGTCGTTGATAACGTCATTTTCCGTCTGATAAAACGTTGTCCGTCTTACTTAAATGACACAGGAATGAGTACGATGCATCCGATTAATTTATATCAAAAATAAATATTGTCTTTTACTTTCTGCAAAAGCGAGATTGACAGAACAAGTTTCATTTCATTTCCCTTGAAGTGGGTGTTAACGCCTTTTAGAATATTGTAGCGTATAGCGTAGTGTATTCTAATATTTTAGAATATTATTTGAATACTGGAGAGAGAGAGAAAAAATGGTTGTTGAAAAAAACATGCCCTTTTACGAGGTCTCACAAAGCTGGGATGGACTTTTGCGAGATCCCGCAAAAACATTTCAATTACCAGTAATAACTGCTCTGTGTCCGTTTAAACTACAAAAGGAAATGTATTTATTGACTAATAAGTATCAACCTAAGTGATATACATGTCATGTACAGTGTGCTTTGAGCAATAAACTATGGGGGACAATGCACACCATGTAATTTAATATTGTGTTTCTGTATGCATCTATTTGTTAATACAGTGGTACCTCAGTTCTCGATCTCATTAGAACTCGAATTTCTTAAAAGTCGAACCAACCAGTTCGAATCAAAATGACCTATAACTCGATCTGAATCTCAGAAGTCGAACCGTGAACGCTGACCTAAGATAACTTGTACGCGTGGGAAAATTAGTCACGCTGCACAACTCTCAGCGGAAACAAAGGGCAACACTTCAGTCTCAGCCTCGCATGCACTGTGATTGCATCATGCATGTTTACACTAACTGAATACATATATTTAGACAGTAAAAATACATTTAGACGATGATAGACAGTAACAGTAATTATCATATAATAAAATACATTTAAAAATAAATATTTCTTATTATTTTAATATCGTTAATAATAAACCATTAATACATTTAATCATAATAATATTGTCCTGCGGAACTGGGAGGAATGGAGACAAAGGCGCAGACGTCACGGGGAATACATGATTTAATTATAGGTAAGGCAGGCAAAACGCAGACGGACAATGCAATGACCAGACTGGGAAAACAGACTTAACCTCGGACTAAGAACTAATGACAACAACCAGAAACAGCTAATCACACTGGGATTCCACACGAGATTAACGAGGGGGCGTGGCACACGGAAGGAGCGGACGATTGGGGCAGGACACGTTTTTTTTTAACTTTACATATCGTTTGGATACATTTATTTTCTTACTTTAGAAATTACTGTTTTGATAAATGTGCTTAGATGTGTTTAGTACAGTATATGCTCTTCTTTTTATCCTGTTCATTTTGTGTTTAAATGCTAAAAAAAAAGAAAAAAAAGAAGATATTTACGTGTAATTTTTGGGGGCCGGGAACTAATTAATTGGTTTTCCATTGTTTCTTAAGGGGAAAATTAGATCAGAACCTGAGTTCTGAACGGATTAAGTTCGAGTTCTGAGGTACGTACACTGTAAATGCACTTGTCCATTCACTGCCAGTGACTTTAAACAACACAGCTGGACTACTGAACGTGAAGTGAGCACACAAGCAGTGAAATATATAAAAAATATTAAAGATATTACAGCCGGAAACTGCATAAAAAGCTCACTTTAACGTGGTGTTGGAGTTAGGGATTAAACTCCAGTTTTTAGGATATTTCAGTATAGATCCGCATATCCCCACATATGTCATCAAGCGCGAATACCAGAGAGGTATTCCTGAGAGTGGTTTCGGGTTTAAACCTTAACTATCAGGCACCGAGGTAAAGTTAGCTTAATTCAGTTTGCCGGCTGTAATATCTTTCAACAAAAGCAAGCAATACCGATTGTTTTTTCAGATTTCTTTATAGGCGAATTTTAATGAATATTTCAATGTTTGTGTATACACTTAATAATAGCTGTCTTGCTTACAGTCACTAGCGGTGAATGGACACTGTGCAATCATTAATAAATACGTACAAAAACACATAATACGAAAGTTACGTGGTGTGCATAGTCCGCATAGTTTAATACTTGAATCAAGTGTGAAATAAATAAATAATAATACATTTAACTGGACATGTCTGTATCAATTAGGTTTATACTTATTTAATTGTACTTTAAACGGACACAGCACAGTTATTATTAAAGGTATTAAAAGTATTGAGAGATGTCGCAAAAGTGCACGTACGTTTTTTTGAACCACCGATTTTTTTTTACCATCCAATGTTTCTTCCGTGGCTCCGTAGTTTATTTTTAGCGTAATTTGGCTGCATGTAACTGGATGCTTTGTTCAGGTAAACGCTGGTAGTAGCTGGTTATTGATGGGTTTGTTTTCTCTGACCAGTCCGCATTTCTAACTGGTATACAGATGGTGTGAGTGACATTTCATCCTTTAACCTGAGGTTTTATCTTGGATTTGGGGTGGTGTTTAGCCGTTTGGTTGGGGAACGATAAATGCCAGTATAGTTATATACGCGGCTGCTTTGCCTGCTCTGCGGCTGCTTTGCATACCCTGCGGCTGCTTTGCATACCTTGCGGCTGCTTTGCATGCTCAGCTAATCTGTCATGCAACAATATTTAACTTAATTTAAATGCGTTTGTAATTTATAATAAAAGTATACATTTTTAAATACAAAAAGTCTGGCTGTGCTTTGGGGCACATTTTGTACGCATTAACACCCCTGTTCCGAAGAAGCTCACAACAATGTTCTATTTAAAATGATCATTTAAAAAAATATATTTAGATTGAAATGAAATGATCATTGAAATGTTTATTTGAAGATAGAGATAATACAACACCAAGCCATTAAAATCAAGCAACAAATCATTTGATTGTTTCATTCACAGTGGAGTGTGATTCAGGTTAATAGAGTCATACGGTATTGATTTATTAATAAATAAGTAAATGCTATACTTAAAATAATGCTAAACTTACCACACAACCGAGGATATTCTGATGTTTTCACTCGCTCTTTTGTGCCCCCTAACAAATATTCAGTTACTTAAGAAGAGTTAATTTCCAAAGTGAATCATATCCATATTTGTCAAAAAGAACTGCAGACTGAGCCAGAGAGTGCGAAAAGCGCAACTATGGGCAAAATCATGAGGTTTTTTGTTTAATTATAGAATGTGTTTTGCCCTTAATTTGGTGTGCAGTGGATTTTTTTTTCCATTTTATTTAAAGTTTTTTTTGTGTATGTGATGAAAAAATACTTTTTCATAATAGGTACTGATTGGTTTAGATTAAGACATGAAACTCTTTAACTGATGGTTTGTATACAATCAAAATAGTTGCAAATATAATGCATGTTATATGCCTATAACATAATGAAACACAAGAAGTCAAATAAACATTAATATACTGAATGATAAAGAATGATAATCATTAAAAAATGTTAACCACTTTCAATATCAACTATTCAAATTTCAAAGAGTTACAGACAGTGAGCACAGGTAGTGGTAAACATAGCCAGCGACTAGTGCAGAGAAAGCCGAAGGTCACGGAGGGCTGTGAGAAACTCATCGTTTCCTGGGTTATGTAAAAGAGCTTTCTCATAGCACTCTATGGCTTGGAGCTTGTCACCCCTTAGCTGATTAACATATCCCAGAATCCCAAAAGCTTCCCCATCACTCGGATTTCTGTCAGTACGCCTCTTTGCTATCATTTCTAATCTCTGAACACACTTCTCACCCACTTTGCTATCTTTCTGAATTTGACACCCTTTCATGTAATGCTCTATGGCCAGA